AATAATCACTTTAATAAATCAACTAAATTGGAGGAACAGATTGTACCCTTATTAATTTAAAAAGAAAAGATCCATCTGACAGTGGTGACTAAACACCTGAAGGTGTTGACACAGATCGGATGGTGGTGGCAGTGGCCTAATTACAACAAAAAATTCCAACCTTTAAGCCACTCCAGTTAATGCTTCCTTACTTAACAACTGTACTAACAATTTGGTACATCAAATAACAACTCATCGTGTACATTCTATCCTTCTGTAAATATTAACAGTATACAGTTTATACACCTTGAACAAAAGAAATCAATTTCTTGGCTTGAAATTCTTCAAAAACATTCAGTTAGCTTTATCAGGAAGTAAACTATTAATATGCTCCTCCTCTATGAAGTCCATAACTTCAGCAGACAGGTGGTAGATCTCCCTTGTCCTGCTTGTTACGGCCTGGTGACGAAGGATCCATCAGTTTGACCAGAATATCTTCAATTGGTATGAAGCACATATCTTTTCCACCTGGTTTTGGATGGAATCGCACGTTGGGCCCATGAGTGTAGAAAAACTCCACATTAACATCTTGATGATGAGCATCCAAAGTGACAGCCTTTGCTAACCACCAATTTTGGTCATAAATGACTGCAAGCCAATCTCCGCAATTAATGATACCCGTGGATATATCTGTTGTAGTGCCATAAGGACCATTTTGGGGTACATGCTCCATTTCCTCCATCAGTATTGCCAAAGGCCCTCTGTTCTTTTCCATTGTGGTTGGGCCATCATTCAGTCAAATGAAATGTTGTTGGGTTGAAACACTGGCACATCTGTGGCTCGCTGCAGAAACATGACAATGATCTGTAATGGATACCGTTTCCGTAAAGTGTGACCTGATGGATTTTCCTCGTTGCTGGTACAGGTTTTAGAGGTTGAGAAAGGAGTGCATCGTATGTCTGCATGTCATCTTCAGGTTCTGACCAAAATGACACGACTGTACCTCAGAACTATATTTGCATTTCCATCCCTGAGAAAAGTCCACATGTACAATTACAGTGCTTTCATTGCAGTTCTGTATCATGCTCCTGTATTCTCTGGACTGGTTCTGAACCAAGCACACATGTGTTGTTGTTTCACTGTTTAGTTTGTCTTCATACAGTTTGATGACCTCTGCCAGCGTACCATTGTGCTTCAAAAGTCTTGTATGGTAGTGAATTCCATCTGCTGTTTGATCCTGAACACGTTCCCATTGCTGCCACTCAACATTGGTCAACTCTTGCTGTGGGGTGGGAAGTGAGTGCTTGTGGAGACACCGGGTGCAGGTGCGCAGAAGACATGCCTCGCTTGTCTGAGAACAACACACAAGTTCAAAACTATCCTCCAGTTTGCTAGACTTCACAATACCATATGCTCTTAGAACTTCAAACATCAGCTTTGCATTTTCATGGCACTGGCATTGGCATGTCTTTCGATCTGATGGTTTTGGTGCTGTGATATAGAATGGACGTAAAGCACAGAAGGATGAACTCCCTGTGGAGGTTGAAATATTGTGTCAAAATCATTCTCCGATGCTTTATTTTCATCCTTGTTACCCTGTCCTGTTTGTCAGTTGTCATTTGTGCAGTATTATGCCATCTGGGTTATTGTTTGAATGTAAGTGGGGGTTTTTTTCAGTCTTGCGCAGACTATTGTATGTCAGCCCGAACTGCTTTGTCTTGTGTATTAGGCGATATTTCTTTAGAACCCTGCCTGACAGAGTCAGGTTCTTTGATTTTTGAGCAGGCTTGTTTTGATTAAATTCTTGAATGAGCGAGTTGTGGAAGAGCAGGGTTTTCTTGATGGAGGTGTTTTTGAGTTTGCTTCCCTGTAGCATCTGTTCTGTTTTCTATCTTGAAGATAAAGTTTTTTATTTCTAGTTTGCTCTCGTCGCCAACGCTTTTTCAGTTTGTTTCTATCTTTTATTATCTCTTGAAGTTCTTTTTTTCAAAGCTTTCATCTCTCTTGAGTATCTTGCTCTTGTTTTTTTCTTTCCCTTTCCCCTGCTATAGTCTACGACTGCTGGCTCTTGTAGAGTCTGATCCAATGGACTTTCTCGGGGAGTTTCTGGGCATTGTGGGCCTTTTCTCTTACGCTTCCTTGACTCTCATTGTCTACGTTTCCACACCTTTCTCTTACTTCTCTTTTTTCTTTCATTTAAATGATGGTTGATCGTTTTTAGCTTTCCATCCTCTACTCTCTTTTTCCATCTTTGCTTTTCCTACTGGCTCACTATATATTTTTGCTCTCCTCTTTTTTTGGTATTCCCTGATTCTTCTCCTTCGCTTCTCCACTGATAGCTGTCCAGCCATAACTTCCTAAAATACATAAAAGGAACATCAGAATTTAATAACAATGAAATTGAGCAAAATTACTATAAATATAATTATTTTATTTGGTGAAGTGTTATACAATGTTTATGAAATGGTGCAACAACATTCATTTATGTTTTTAGTCATTGGGGATAGATATAGTAAGGACTATTTGTTCAAGAAATGAAGGGTAAATTATGTATAGTATAAATAATATAAAAAGTTTACAAGCCATATTACTATTTATTGTGATCATAAAAAGTATTTAAGCTTGCATTGAGATGATCATTTGGATGTTTTTGTCAACATCGTCAAACTATGTGTCACCACCATCAGACATAAAATCTGACGGTGGTGACAAAAATACACTTTTTAACATGACATGCATGAGTGGTACACAGGAGCCATCTTGTTTTCCCTTTGTTGCTAGCTACCCCTATCCTCTACTTAAAATGCTTTAATTTAAGTTATAATTTAAAATAATTCTTTCCATGCAAAAGAGGCCAGCAGCAACATCGATAAATAGGTAAAAAAAAAAGATGTAACAATAGCAAACTTACAGGAGCTTGTTTTTACCATTTAGTAAATGTGGAGGGTGGAAAGCGGGTCCTAAGGAATAAAGTTGACCATGTGGTTGCCTGATTTTATTGCTTTTTAAGAAATATGTGACGGTGTTGACAAAAACTTGGCACACATTTTGAGAAACGAAAAAATAAGAATATATATTGTTGAAAATCCACTGCTTTTAGTTTTAAAAATCTTTTTTACTCTACTTTTTCATCTGGCATTTATATTATACATTTAAATATTTTTTCCACCATTTTTGATAAAATTGTAATCACTTGTATGAGGACAACTGATTTTGTGGGTACTGGGCTATCATAAAATCAAATAATTTATACATTTTAACACAAACATATGAAAAAAAAAGTATTTGTGCAAAAGACCCTCATTTGAGTAACCCTGATAATTTTAAATAAGAAAATGTTATTAATTTTCAATGGAATTTGCAGTTTTCTCAGTGGGACTGATTATATTTGCTTTCCTGACAATGTGAGGTTTTTTTTATACTACTGGACTACAGTATTGCCTTTTGGAGTATTAAGTGGTATTATGAGACAGGACAGGTATGTATGTGTGTGCATGCAGCATTAGTAGTGGAAGAGAAAAAAATATAGTGTTCACAAATCCTTTACACCCACCAGAGTCCTTTTGTAGGTTTCCGCAATGGGAAAGCCCCTGCTGGGCTACTGCTGGATGAATCTTGCCGCAGACATCTTAGAGGGACAAAGAAAATCATATACTGTAGCTTCAAAAGGGCTTTCATAGGGTTCAAACTAGGGCTGTCAAACGATAAATTTTTTCTTAATCGTGATTATAACTGAATTTCAATAGTTAAGCATGATTAAAATTCTATTATTATTATTATTATTGTTGTTATGGTTATTATTATATATCTTAACTGTTTTAAGTCTGTATTAACAATGATAACAATTCTTGCCAGTGTATCTTGATTGGAAATCAAATTAATGCAAAGAAAGTTTGTTTTTGAACTTGACTTTAAGATTTATTTGATTATTTCAAATCAAAAGATGTGCAACGAGACTGAGGTAAAACAATCAATGTAAATGAAATATAGTCTTCCTTAAGCTTGCTTTCAAAAATTCTACAGCAAAAATGCATGTACAAAATGTACACACATTATTATAAAGTGCATAACAAACAAAATACTCCATAGCTACATTATTTTTGAATTCAGTTGAAACCAATGAGACAGCACTTGCTTTAAGTAGGAGTTTCAGTTTGACTACTTTTTCCGTTTCATACAGGCTATGTATGCGTGGAACAATTGTCCCCCGCAACGACAATGCATATAATTTGCAATCTCCAAAATAGTGCTCATCTCATCACGATTAACGCGTTAATGCTGACAGCCCTAATTGAACATGATGAGAGTTATCTCATGCATCTACGAATATATTCCATAGTTTGTCATCATAATTTGAAACATTTATCTTACAGAATGTAGAAGTTACAACCTTGTAACACAATCCTAACCCTCCGAAACCAAAACTGGAAGGTCAACATGTAGGTAAAGAGTCTGTGTTCCTCCACACCTTTGTGGAAATGTTTGCCTGAAATCTATATAATAATAAAAGGCTAACAGCAAAGCACTTGTTTATTAACGCATAACAATTTCCGATGATTTGTCTTTCATAAAACACACTGCAGTCTGTTCCTGCTGTTGCCATGCATGCGTGAGTGCATGTTCATAACTGTCATGGGATGCAACCTCGGTCTGGTCTGTTTAATAAGTAGTAGCATTTTTATTGTTTTTATGCAGCTATAAATAATAATTGCAACTGTGAATACAGGTGAAGCACATTAGGGATCAATAGGAATAAACAGGAAACAAAGTTAGACAAAGTGGACAGGCTCAGACAAAAAACTCAACCCTACAAAATAACACAGAAAGTAAAGCACATGAAAACGCACAAGAACAAATTTAAAACGGAAAAATCATACATGTTGTAGGGGTAGACCTGTATCAGCCTATTTTGAGTGCAGTGGTAGTGTGATGGGTGAGCACCTAGAGTGAGTGTGCATTTGGTGGGTGTGGTTTTTCACATTGTTTAATTGCATGGGGATGGGCTGATGGCAGACAGGTGTGCTTGGGCGTGACCTCCATCTGCAAGCTATTTAACCAGTCACACACTAGGCTAAGGAGTCTTCTGCTTGTCTCCTGGATGCAGGTACAGAGTTGTGATTTTGAATGTCTTCTTCCCTGGGTGTATATATAATTATGTGGGCTGGTGGCAGTGTTTGTCGTGTGGAATGTTTTATAAATTGCTGTTGTCTAAGAGTCTTCTGCTTGTCTCCTGGGTGCAGTGTGCGGGTGCGCTGAAGCTGCTGATATCTGAAAGAGTGTGCCACACGGCTGGGCCGTAGTCTGGGGAGCCGGCAGTGCAGAGCCACCGCTACTTAGTAGAGTTACCAGAGGCCCCAAGCAGTGAGGAGGCGACAACCGGCCAGCCTGTGATCAACAGCAGACCCGTTTCTGTCGTGTTTGGCTTCGCCCCACGCAGGAAAAAGAAGTTGAGCACACCCCGCCACGAAGAGCTGCATTCCCATTTAACTGACCCTGAATTTCCCCCATTTTGAACCAACCTTGTAACTTTCTTAGCTTCAGCCTTGTTTTAACCCTTCTTAGGCCTATTCTGTACAAATAAACTTGGAGGTTATATTTTGCACAGCTTGTAGTATTGTTGCCCACTTATTTTACTAACTGGCTGGTCAATTCTGAACTAGTTTGGGGTGTTGCATAAACATCCGAACAGTGATCCAAAACAAGTGTGACACACTATGGTCTTTTTTTTTTTTTGTTTTTTTTTAACAGCGTATGCAGCCTTTAAGCGGTGCCAAAATATGTACTTTTAACTTTATTGTATGTGCATGTGTTACTTCTGTGAAATTGGAGAACTGATCACAAATCATGTGGGAAGATTTCAGCAGACAGGCGGCACAAGATTTTTGCTATATTATTGCTATTCTGATATATTAACTATCCTCCTCCTTCTTTCATTCAGTGATGCCAGGTCACAGACAGGGTATATTTTTTTTTATTTTTTTTTTTAAGGCCACTGCAATCTGTCCTCATGTTACCTTACATTAAATGAGTTCCAATTAAGCCAAATGTTGGGGCCTAGAAATACTTTATAATGTTCATAGAAACGTAATGGGTTAGGTTTAAACAGAAGGATACTCTTATTTAATTTCTGTACATTGTTTATCTTTTCTTTTTAATCGAACCTGTTTCTTTTTATTATGCATTGCTGTCTTTGAAAAACAAACATTAAAAAAATGACAGTTGCCAAACAGAAGGCCGAGTCCTGTCTCCTTAAGGGTGCAACACAAACATTTGTCAAGGGACTAGTGTGTGTGTGTGTGTGTGTGTGTGTGTGTAATACAGCTAAAAAGAAACTTCATATGTTTTGCTCTCTACAGATCAGTATGATGAATCAGGATAAAATGAGTGAGCCTTATCTTGAGGGGTCTTGTAGATTCAGCACAGCCAGAGCTTGAAGTGGAAAAATAGGTGCCAGTACTCTCCATTCACCCCCCCCCCTATAAATCTGTGTATTTGTATATAATATAATAATAAATACAAAGTATATTGTTATCATAATATTAATATATTTACAGGTCACATGGTAGAGTATTTGTAACATTTAAACAGTTTATTCAACAATTCAACTGTTTTACAAATAAAACTGATATTTCACCCATGTGGTTAAGGTTTGATTAGGGCTAATGTTAGCGTATTCCTTATAAGTTCAGAAAATAGTATAGACTACTAATATAGCTTACCACTATAGGCTACAGTATTAAATTCAGATGGACAAAACGGCCGTTTCATTTTTGTGTGTTGTTGCAAGAAAAAAGCTCTACATGGTGGCCAGTCTCTGATTTGTTAACGCTAAGTGCTAACTGGTCAATAATCATAACCATTCATGCAGAACAACGAGATCAACATTTCAAAATTTCTGATTGCTGTCAACAAGGGCGTCACATAAGGGCTCAGATTAGGGGTGTGACGATACACTTGGGTCACAAGAACAAGACGATGATATTTTTACACTATTTTGAAGACTATTTTAGCTTAAGTAACTTTTTTGGATAATGTTTCTTCTATATTTCAGTTGCATTGCATGTTTTCTTATTGTGCATTGTTTCATTTGTTATTTAACATTTCTTTTTGCAAGCTGTTTTTCAGAACATCACAACAAATGCTTTCAAAAAGTGATTCTGACATGTCCCCAGTGTCCCCAGTGTAAATGACGCCTATGGCTGTCAACCTTTTTTAATGTCCCACCCCATCCAGGCTAGGATTGGTCGCTTCATGGAAAGGGACAATGATGAGCTACTTTCTGCACAGGGCTGCATGAAAGACACCCGAGCTTCTCTTCTCCATCATCTGTCTCTGCCGACAGAGATTAGCAGGCAGGCGAGAACAGGAACTGGTGAGCGACACGTAGTATCAGACAACCTGATATGGAGGGCAGAGAAGGGTACCGGCAGCTTGTGAGAAGTGCCGGGACGCCAAAGAGTAAAATGTCGAGGTGCCGGTACTGCACACCCGTGTGCCCTAGCACAGCACAGATTTGCTTAGTTTTGATTTTTCATAAGTTTTGTTGCTAAAGAAATGGACCAATTTGGACAAAAATAAATATAAAATAAGATAATGTTGACATCAGTTATTTATTGTCCACCCTGCCTCTCACACCCTCAGAACACAACAAAACAATATGTGGAAGGCTTTTCTGGGTAGCCAATACACTTAACGAACTTTGGGTTAAACTAATCAAAACACAAGGATGAGATATAGATGGGATCTTCAGGCCACCTGGATAACTTTATTGCAATATGACAGATCAAAGTTATGGTTGCACTCTAGTGACAACTGAACATAAAACTTCAGTTCCTACCTCCTACCTTCCTAGGAAAACAAATCCTCCTAATGTGTCTGTCCCCTGCAAATGTCAAATGTTTCAATCTTTCCCACCTATTGTTTCAACAATATTAATTACTATGTTGTTGTCACCTATGACCTTCCAAGTACATGCAACTGTTTTACCTCCTCTCGGCCTTCACTGGCCTGTTGTGTTCTCTGGCTACTGTCAATCATCCTGTCTGTCACTATGGCTAGGTCAGCTAGTGACTCATCTGCAGCCTCAAAAAATGGTTTTGTATTGTTTATAAGTGAGTACATAAGTATCTGTCTTAACCAGAAAAATATATATTCAGACCCAAAATACATTGGTTTATGATTAACATATACTCAGCCTCAAGTCACACTCACAGTGGTTTCCTAAATTTTAATCATTTAAAATTTCTGAAAAGTAGATTAAAGCGATGCAGATGTTGAACTGAATAATTTAAATAGATTTTCCACCCATAAAATGATGAATAAAGTATTGTAAATACCTGGACAATATTGATGTTGATATATGACCCTGCTGCAAAAAAGATAAATTGTGCAAAAAGTGGGCCCTGCTCTTATAATTACTAAAGTGAAAATAAGTTACTTATAAATGCAATTTTCTGTCATTACCTTATTGGAAACATGGCTGACTGATGAAACAGTAGATGATAACATGTCTCCATTCCACTGTGTTCATTCATGTAGAAAGGACAGGTTGGGTGGTGGAGTCGCTACATTTTGGGAAATTAGTTAATTGTATATTGCATGGTATTTACCACGAGTAGAAAACTATGTTTCAGCATCAACCTTTTTCAAAAGTGATAATCCTTCTCCTACAGCTTTTTTTCAATGTATTCTACTTATCCTACTTTTACACTCTCATTTACAAAACAAGTAGAGTGACAAATATAACTGACACCCTAACAGAACGTGGTTTTCTTCTGCATTCTTTTTTATATCTTCTTTATATGTTTATTGTATGTACTAAACACAAAGGCAAATTGAGAAACTACTTCGTAATAAAACGTATTCTGATAAATGTTATATTATAAATAACAACAACAATCCATTAAATAGTACAGTTATAATGTAAAATAAGTACTATCTTAAATTATACAAACAATGGTATCTTACTGAGACTGATTCGAATGGATCACACCAGAAATGAACCGCTCCAGAGTTCATGTGACAGCAGTCAAAAATTCAAACTTTTGTGATGCTAGTATTTGCTGTGAAGGACAACTTGATTCTAAATTGCTATCTGGGTATCATTGCATGTTCTACTGAATATTATAGTGACAGTTGCCTCCACCTGTTTTTATTATTGAACTGGAGAATTAGTGCCACCAGTGTTTATCTCCAAGAAACCAACTCCTAATAATCATATAACATTAGTTGATGGAAACTCACATTCAGTCGTGTTTAATTTTGCCATCATCAAAATTCTGTTGAATCCAGACATCGTTACAGACAGAATGTTCTACCTGTGTTAACGTGTATCGTTGAACAACAAGAATGTTAAATTAACAACAACCTGACAGCGTAGTTGTCTGATCCACTGAGTTTAGTCAGTTTCAGTCAATCTGCAACATCAAGACGATAGGAACCAAATATATTTTTTTTATATTAATGCTTCTATTCATAAACAATACAATGTAAGACAAGATTACAAAGGTTAAATATGCATTTGCAATATAATTACTTCAGGAAGATAACAGGGATACAAAGGTTAATCTGCATGTTCACTTTACTTGCACAAACTGAGATCTTTCTTGTAGACAGTTGTTGATGTACCCATACAAATGTTTTTGTGTTTTGTTTTGTCACGTTCTATACCTTGGTCCCGAGAGAAACTGTGTCATTCATTAAATTGTATTTGTTATGGGTAGACATTTAAATCAAAAATTAACTCCACTCTTAAATAATCAACAATGCCAACGTCTAAACTTTAAGTTTACAATATAATGAGAACATTGTTAATTTTAATAAATATACAAAACTCTCTGGAAAATGAAACTCACCACTAATAATGCTGTGGCATTATCATAGCCCATCATTTTATCTAAGAAATCTGTAAATCAATCATGCAAATGTATCCATTTTTTTCCTCATGTTAACGGAAGCATAAAAAAAGCAAAATGGCTTGCTTAAAATGATGAAATTATTTGGATTAATTAGATCATATTAAATTAGATTTAAAACATAAAGCATGACCCAGGTCCATTTCAGGACTTCATATGTTACATCACACAACATGATTCAGTTTCCTTTTGCTCTCACAAGAACAACATGCAGTAACACAAGTGTACATTGTTGTACAGATCAAAGGGGAATCACAGCAATGCATAATCTCCAGCAATCAATGCACAGCCTTAACAAATCAAGTCAGTCAGGTGTGTGCCTTTTAAAGATGTTGAATCTCTCAAGGGGATCAAATCAATACCCTTTGTCTGTGGGTCAATGGTCCACTTGTGCTGTGGAGAGACAAAAGTCTCTCACCTCAGACTGTCTTGTTCACTGTGCCTGGTCACCCTCAAGCTGGTACTTACATCAAATCAGTGTTAAACAGCATTTTCATTCAAATCTTGCTGGCCAGTTCAGGTTCAGCACCAGCAGGAGAATAACCTGTCAGTCATGTGTTATCGCTAACAAGATGCCCCTGAATTACTGTGGGTACAACGGTGATGTTTCACACCATGATCATCAGATTTTTTTGTGCATTTCCCATTATGTCAGTGCCTTGTAGGTTCTGTAACTGTCAGCAGTGGGGT